TTAGTAACCGAGGTTGGTATATTTTAAAACTGCGTTGGTTGCAAGCGATTCCGACTATTTGTATCACATATATTAAAGTTCAAACTTCGCAATATCGACTTATAATAACAGCCGAGGCCGAGGCGGTATATTTGAAGCTTATTATATTCGTTATATCTTGAAGATATAATAAATACGAGCTTTATGTTTGACGATCTTGATTGCAAAGCCTATATTCGATCTATATGGACGATCTTAACACGTGATAATTCGAGTCCGCCTGCGGCCGAGGCATTGAGTTTCAAATCTGTAACAACTATTCTGCATCTTGTAAAAAATCTGAAAACGTCAAGTTTATTTCAAGCATTTTGACGTTTCTCATTTCTTAAAAAATAAATTATAACCTTAAAATGTCAAAATCGAATCTAATTATTTTTTGATGAATATTAAAATAATTGTAATAAGAGTTAAAAATGCGTTAATCTGATACCAAACGCGACCTAGTTAGATTAAAAAATGAAAAAGTTAGGTTATAATCTGTCAAATGTCAAATTCGAATTTAATTATTTTTTGATAAATATTAAAATAATTTTAATAAGAGTTAAAAATGCGTTAATCTGATACCAAACATGACGTAGTTAGGTTAAAAAATGAAAAAGTTAGGTTATAATCTGTCAAATGTCAAATTCGAATTTAATTATTTTTTGATAAATATTAAAATAATCTTAATAAGAGTTAAAAATGCGTTAATCTGATACCAAACACGACGTAGTTGGGTTAAAAAATGAAAAAGTTAGGTTATAATCTGTCAAATGTCAAATTCGAATTTAATTATTTTTTGATAAATATTAAAATAATCTTAATAAGAGTTAAAAATGCGTTAATCTGATACCAAACACGACGTAGTTGGGTTAAAAAATGAAAAGTTAGGTTAGAATCTGTCAAATGTCAAAATCGAATTTAATTATTTTTTGATAAATGTTAAAAAATGAAAAGGTTGTGTTAAAAACTGTCAAATGTCAAAATCAAACGTCATTTTGACATTTCTCATTTCTTAAAAGTAAATTATAACCTTAAAATGTCAAAATTGACGTTTGATGCAATATCCAAACTTTTCCATTTCTTCAAGAAATCTCAAAAATAAGCGTTTATCGCAATTTTGAATTTTATTTATTTGTCAAAAATTAATCATAACCTCAAAAACGTTTCAATCGAGATATTTCCATTTCTTAACAAAATTTGCAAACGTCAAGTTTATTTGAAATACGCGCCAATAACGTCATTTTGACGTTTGTCATTTCTTAAAAACAAATTATAACCTTAAAATGTCAAAAGTGACGTTTGATACAATTTGTAAACATCTTTATTTCTTAAAAAAATCTAAAAAATAAGCGTTTATTGCAATTTTGAGTTTTATTTATTTCTCAAAAATTAACCATAACCTCAAAAACATTTTAATCGAGATATTTCCATTTCTTTACAAAATTGCAAACGTCAAGTTTATTTGAAATACGCGCCAATAACGTCATTTTGACGTTTGTCATTTCTAAAAAAATAAATTATAACCTAAAAACGTCAAAAGTGACGTTTAATGTAATTTCAATTTAATTTAATCTAAGTTAAACGTTTCTTTTTCTCAAGAATGAATCGAAATTTGATTATATACATTAATTCGTCCGGTTGATACACGTTTGAATTAAACATCTCGTTTGTTCCTGACACGACGTTTGATTTACACGAACGGATCGGTTAATTGGTCGTGCGAGGGCGCTTTGACACGGATATGGCGTGCACAATCTATCTTGACAATCAATAACCGACGCGACGATTTCAAACCGAACATAACCTATATAAACCATAATAACCCGAATACTATTTCATCATCTCCACGTGACGTGATAAATTTAATACGGTCGAAAGTCCCAAATTTGCGACAAAGAAATCTAAATCTAAATAAATAATCGATGGGGAGAATGGGGAATTGTTAAATTCGAAAAAAAGTTTGCCCCCCCCGAATCGGTTATAAAATTTACTGCGAAATGCGTTATTTATGGTGTGTCATTGGATATAGCGCGGCTGGGCGAGTTATATCGAGTTATTTTTTTTGTAATTTTGGCTTCGTGTGAAATATAGTTTTGCAACACGTTTTTTGACAAAAAATGTTACTAAAACGTTAACCCGCTTTTTTATGTATTTTTTCGAATAAAAATAAAAACATATTGTTGGTAAGTTAGGGAGTTTTGTCAATACAGTTATTTTTACTGTTAAGTGGTTGGTAATAGTTAGTTACATACTTTTGACAGTTAAGAAGAAAAAGGCGGTTAAAGATTTTTGTTTCTTATTACGATTATTTCAACATTTATCATAAAACAATTAAATTCGATTTTGACATTTGACAGATTCTAACCTAACTTTTTCATTTTGTATCCTAAATAGGTCATGTTTGGTATCAAATTAAAAGATTTTTGATTCTTATTACGATTATTTCAAAATTTATCATAAAATAATTAAATTCGATTTTGACATTTGACAGATTCTAACCTAACTTTTTCAATTTTAAACCTAAATAGGTCGTATTTATTATCAAATTAAAGCATATTTAATGCTTATTATGATTATAACAATATCAAAAAATAATGAAATTCGATTTTGACATTTGACAGTTTTTAACCTTTTTCATTTTTTGACCTATACAGATTTTGTTTGGAACCAAATTATACTTAATGTATCATAAAGGAAATTAAATATCCTTTAAAATAAGTCCAAACTCGACCTAAATATGAAAACACAAAATTTGCGTCAAAAAAAAAATAAAATGGCGGATTTTTTAAAATATTTAACCTAACTTTTTTTATTTTTATCGGAAATTAGTTGTGTTCGGTATCAAATTAAAGAGATTTTGATAAAGATTAAGAATTTAATAGAAAAATTAAAAAAAAATTGTTTCAATAAAAAAAAATTTATTAATAATTTTTTAATATTTTAAAATTGTTTATAACTTGTTGCATTGTAAAGGAAATTAAAAATCCTTTAAAATGAGTCCAAACTCGACATATTTACGAAAATATTGAAATTACGTCAAAAAAAACAAAATGGCGGGTTTTTTGTTGAATTCTTACCTAACATTTTATTTTTTAACCTAAATAGGTCATGTTTGGTATCAAATTAAAAGATTTTTGATTCTTATTACGATTACTTCAACATTTATCATAAAATAATTAAATTCGTTTCTGACATTTGACAGATTTTGACCTAACTTTTTCATGTTTTGACCTATACAGATCGTGTTTGGGACCAAATTATACTTAATGCATCATAAAGGAAATTAAATATCCTTTAAAATAAGTCCAAACTCGACCTAAATATGAAAACACAAAATTTGCGTAAAAAAAAAAAAACAAAATGGCGGATTTTTTAAAATTTTTAACCTAACTTTTTTGATTTTTATCGGAAATTAGTTGTGTTCGGTATCAAATTAAAGGGATTTTAATAAAGATTAAGAATTTAATAGAGAAAATAATTGTTCTTTTAATAAAAAAAATTTTGTTATTAATTTTTTAATGTTTTAAAATCGTTTCTAACTAATTGCATCATAAAGGAAATTAAAAAATCCTTTAAAACGAATCCAAACTCGACATATTTACGAAAATATTGAAATTACGTCAAGAAAAACAAAATGGCGGGTTTTTTGTTGAATTCTTAACCTAACATTTTATTTTTTAACCTAAATAGATCATATTTGATATCAAATCAAATGCTTTTTGATTGTTATTACGATAATTTCAACATTTATCATAAAATAATTAAATTCGTTTCTGACATTTGACAGATTCTAACCCAACTTTTTCATTTTTTAACCTAAATAGGTCATGTTTAGTATCAAATCAAATACTTTTTGATTCTTATTACGGTTATTTCAACATTTATCATAAAATAATTAAATTCGATATTGACATTTGACAGATTCTAACCTAACTTTTTCATTTTTTAACCTAAATAAGTCATATTTGGTATTAAATTAAGAGCTTTTTGATACTTATTATGATTATTTCAACATTTATCATAAAATAATTAAATTCGATATTGACATTTAACAGATTTTAACCTAACTTTTCATTTTTTAACCTAAATAGGTCATGTTTGGTATCAAATCAAATGCTTTTTGATTCTTATTACGATTATTTCAACATTCATCATAAAATAGTTAAATTCGATTTTGACATTTGACAGATTCTAACCCAACTTTTTCATTTTTTAACCTAAACAGGTCATGTTTGGTATCAAATTAAATGCTTTTTGATTCTTATTACGGTTATTTCAACATTTACCATAAAATCAAATTTATCAATGCTAATAGTTACATACTTTTGGCTTGAATTGCTGTTTTTTTATCACATATTTTGGGAAAATTTTCAAAAAAATTTGAAATGGGGCATAAGTCGATAACCTTAGTTTTGAGGGAGTAATAAAACCCACATGACGACTTGAAATGATGGTTTTTAACGCGAACTCGAACGCTTTTCAAACTCCAACCAGATGTACATCGTGAATTTATGTCCCTTCCAAGAACTGCAACTAACTCGAGCAACTCTAACCTAATTCCGGAACAAGAAGACCGTCGACTCCCGACTGTAACTTTTACTCATCTCCTCCAACCCATTTTCCATCCCTTTCCTAACCATCTCTACATTTTCTTTTTTTGAAAATCGTCGATTTCTAACCTTGTTTCAAACGAATTTAATATTTCTTTCCTTAAACAACCCACCTCCAAGGGTGTGGGGCGAAAATAAAAATTGAATTTTCCCTCGAACGAAGTCCGAAAGAATTTTAAACGGAAATGACAATTCGCAACAAACAAAAAAATTCGCTTCAATCGAACGATTTTAATTAAAAAAAATTCTAACCTTTTATGGCGTGATCCTGATGATTATTGCATGTCGAAACTTGACAACCCCTTCTCTGTTGTAAACTAGGACAGTGTCGACCTCCGTTTTGCGGTTGAACATGAACGGTTCTCGTCCTGGACATTGTTCCAGGGCCGCAATCAGTGTCGCAGGATGTCCACGGGCCCCACGGACTCACTTCGCAATCGACCACTGCAAAAAAAATTAAATTTAAATATATCAAAAAGATCCTCTTTGATTTATTATTTTAGTTTTACTTCGCAAATAAGCTTAACATCCCAGAATCGCGTAACACCCTAAATAATGCATACCGGTTTCGATTTTCCGCCTTCCAACGTGAAAAATGGGGCCATTCATCCGCGTCGCACCGCCGCGCTGCTGCTCCTCCGTAATGAGGAACAATTAATTCGCCCTCTAAATTTATTCTATTACCGTCATTCTCAAATAGAGGCTAGTTACCGCTCGTTTTAAACCTTAAACGCAAATTGCTCAACTTTCAAATCGAAAAAATCGAAATTCTTTTTATATAAATGTATTTTTTCATCTCATTTTGATAACGAGAACGATCAAACACAACAATTTTACCTCAGTCATAAATCGTAACTCGTTTGATACCGCAAAATAAGTAGCCCGTTGATTTTACGTGGAAGGAGGGTTCGGAGGGTGGTTTATGGGGTCAATAACTATAATGGGAGCGTTACGGGGGTCGTAATAGTACCAGGCGTCGATCTAATACCTTTTCGTCACGTAGTTTGCTCAATATTTATTTTTAAAAATAGATTACGTCAAATAAACCTATCCTTTTTGAGGTTATTTCGTGTGTTTTCATCACTTTTACAAAAAAAATGTATTTATTTATTTAGGAAATTAAATTTGCTTTAATTTGATACCAAACACGACATATTTGCCTTTTATATAAAAAAAAATTTAAATACAAAATCCGCCATTTTGTTTTTTTAGCACTAAATTCGGAATCTATATCGAAATCCCTTTAATTTGATACCAAACACACCATAATTCTATTAAAAGAAATAAAAGTTGGGTTAAAATTTAAAAAAAATCCGCCATTTTGTTTTTTTTTTTGACGTAAGTTTCGTGTTTTTATAAATAGGTTGAGTTTGGACTCATTTTAAAGGATTTTTAATTTCCTTTACGATGCATTAAGTATAATTTAGTTGAAACACGACACATTTGCGTCCAAAATTAAAATTTTAAATTTTTAAAAATTATAAAATCCGCCATTTTGTTTTCTTTAGCATTAAATTCGGAATCTATATTGAAATCCCTTTAATTTGATACCAAACACATCCTAATTCTATTAAAAAACAAAAAAGTTAGGTTAAGAATTTTAAAAAATCAGCCATTTTGTTTTATTTTGACGTAATATTTATATTATCGTAAATAGGTCGAGTTTGGACTCATTTTAAAGGATTTTTAATTTCCTTTACGATACATTAATTATAATTTGGTTCCAAACACAATCTGTATAGATCAAAAAATGAAAAAGATCAAAAACCGTCAAATGTCAAAATCGAATTTCATTATTTTTTGATACCATTAAATATGCTATAATTTGATAATAAATACGACCTATTTAGGTTTAAAAATGAAAAAGTTAGGTTAGAATCTGTCAAATGTCAAAATCGAATTTTATTTTTTGATAAAAGTTGAAATAATCGTAATAAGAAACAAAAATCTTTTAATTTGATACCAAACATGTCCTATTTAGGTTAAAAAATAAAAAAGTTAGGTTAGAATCTGTCAAATGTCAAAATCGAATTCATTATTTTTTGATAAAAGTTGAAATAATCGTAATAAGAATCAAAATTTTTTTAATTTGATACCAAACATGACCTATTTAGGTTAAAAAATAAAATGTTAGGTTAAGAATTCAACAAAAAACCCGCCATTTTGTTTTTCTTGACGTAATTTCAATATTTTCGCAAATATGTCGAGTTTGGACTCATTTTAAAGGATTTTTAATTTCCTTTACGATGCATTAAGTATAATTAGGTTCAAACACGACATATTTGCGTCCAAAATTAAAAAAATTTAATTTTAAAAATTACAAAGTCCGCCATTTTGTTTTTTTAACACTAAATTCGGAATCTATATTAAAATCCCTTTAATTTGATGCCAAACACATCCTAATTCTATTAAAAAACAAAAAAGTTAGGTTAAGAATTTTAAAAAGTCGGCCATTTTATTTTATTTTGACGTAATATTTATATTATTGTAAATAGGTCGAGTTTGGACTCATTTTAAAGGATTTTTAGTTTCCTTTACGATACATTAATTATAATTTGGTTCCAAACACAATCTGTATAGATCAAAAAATGAAAAAGATCAAAAACCGTCAAATGTCAAAATCGAATTTCATTATTTTTTGATATTGTTATAATCTTAATAAGCATTAAATATGCTATAATTTGATAATAAATACGACCTATTTAGGTTTAAAAATGAAAAAGTTAGGTTAGAATCTGTCAAATGTCAAAATCGAATTTGATTATTTTTTGATAAAAGTTGATATAATCGTAATAAGAAACAAAAATCTTTTAATTTGATACCAAACATGACCTATTTAGTCTAACAAATAAAAAAGTTAGGTTAGAATCTGTCAAATGTCAAAATCGAATTTGATTATTTTTTGATAAAAGTTGATATAATCGTAATAAGAAACAAAAATCTTTTAATTTGATACCAAACATGACCTATTTAGTCTAACAAATAAAAAAGTTAGGTTAGAATCTGTCAAATGTCAAAATCGAATTTGATTATTTTTTGATAAAAGTTGATATAATCGTAATAAGAAACAAAAATCTTTTAATTTGATACCAAACATGACCTATTTAGTCTAACAAATAAAAAAGTTAGGTTAGAATCTGTCANTAAAAAAGTTAGGTTAGGAATCAACAAAAAATCCGCCATTTTGTTTTATTTTGACGTAATTTTTATATTATCGTAAATAGGTCGAGTTTGGACTCATTTTAAAGGATTTTTAATTTCCTTTATGATGCAAAAAGTTAGAAACGATTTCAAAATATTAAAAAATCAACAATACATTTTTTTTATAAAAAGAATTTTTTTTTTTAATTTTTTCTACTAAATTCTTATTCTTTATTAAAATCCCTTTAATTTGATACCAAACACAACTAATTTCTGATAAAAATCAAAAAAGTTAGGTTAGGAATCAACAAAAAATCCGCCATTTTGTTTTATTTTGACATAATTTTTATATTATTGTAAATATGTCGAGTTTGGACTCATTTTAAAGGATTTTTAATTTCCTTTATGATGCAAAAGGTTAGAAACGAAAATTTGTTAGGTTAAGAATCAACAAAGCTGTCAAACGTCAAAATATGACACTTTACACATAATATTTATTAATTTTTAGATTTTTTTTTGGAAATCCCCGACTAAAAAAAAAAAACTTAGACGTCTAAAAGCGATAAATTGAATAAAGTCCCCCTTTACCCGAAACGAGATTGATGGATAGTCGAAATCACTCTTCCAAGGTGAATCCACTTGTCCCCATCGTTCCTCTCCTTAATCTCCAAGTTTTTTTGATCTGTCAACGTTTCCAAAACCGAATCTTGCCCCCGATGTCTCATCAATTACGATTTTTTAACCCCACAAAATAATTAAAAAAAAACATCCTATTTATAGATTCGCGTGTTTCAAAGCACAGAGTAATATTTAACTGGAAACCTCATTTTCTCCCTTTCACTCACTCTTTGAGCAACATAGGTATGTATCGATTACGAGAGAGAGCGTTTTTATTTTTAAATAAACCCGGTTGCGGTTTGTGCAATTGAATCCTCAACTTCGCCGCGCCGCACCCCGCATCGCGTTGTATTTAGGATTATTGTAGCGCGTTTACCAGTTTTAAATAACGCAAAACCCGCTATACAAATACGAATTCATGTATGCGATACACATACGGTTTAGATTGTATAAAAGCAAATAGGGGTAATTACCCGATGGTGGTTAAAAACGTAATCGGATTACTGAAAATGACATCTCGTTTGTTAATAGATTCAATAATTTAAGCGGAAATAATTAACATTTTTTAAAAATTCGATTTTCTTTTTGTTCCGAGTATTAATCAAAGCTACGATTGTTATGGAGTTCTCGACGGATTGTTGATCAAAGCGCAACTTGGAAACATTTGCATGTTTAATTAGTACTACGTACGAAATCGGTGTGGGAACACGCGATTCTAGTTATATGTATAAAGTAGAATATCTCGTTATGTACGATTAACTCATCAATTAATTCTACGATGAAGTCCTCAAGTACCAAAACGATTATTTATCGCCGATTAATCATTTATTTAATCACTTATTCATTGAATACTAGGAATAATTTTAGAAAGTATCGAGTTTAGCCGTGCGTCTGAAGACTAAAAATTAATATTTTTGACAGTTAATGTCATATTTTGACGTTTGACAGCTTTGTTGATTCTTAACCTAACAATTTTCGTTTCTAACCTATTGCATCGTAAAGGAAATTTAAAATCCTTTAAAATGAGTCCAAACTCGATATATTTACGATAATATTGAAATTACGTCAAGAAAAACAAAATGGCGGATTTTTTGTTGATTCCTAACCTAACTTTTTTGATTTTTATAGGAAATTAGTCGTGTTCGGTACCAAATTAAAGAGATTTTAATGAAGATTAAGAATTTGATAGAAAAAATGTAAAAAAAAATGTGTTATTAATTTTTTAATCTTTTAAAATCGTTTTTAATCAATTGCATCGTAAAGGAAATTAAAAATCCTTTAAAATGAGTCCAAACTCAACATATTTACGAAAATATTGAAATTACGTCAAGAAAAACAAAATGGCGGATTTTTTGTTGACTCCTAACCTAACTTTTTTGATTTTTATCGGAAATTAGTTGTGTTTGGTATCAAATTAAAGAGATTTTGATGAAGATTAAGAAATTTGATAAAAAAAATTTTAAAAAAATTTTTATAGTAAAAAAAAATTTGTTATTAACTTTTTAATCTTTTAAAATCGCTTTTAATCAATTGCATCGTAAGGGAAATTAAAAATCCTTTAAAATGAGTCCAAACTCGACATATTTACGAAAATATTGAAATTATGTCAAGAAAAACAAAATGGCGGGTTTTTTGTTGATTTCCTAACCTAACATTTTATTTCTTAACCTAAATAGGTCATATTTGGTATCAAATTAAAAGCTTTTCGATTTTTATTACGATTATTTCAACCTTTATCAAAAAATATTGAAACTCGATTTTGACGTTTGACAGATTCTAACCTAACTTCTTTATTTTTTAAACTAAATAGGTCATGTTTGGTATCAAATCAAATGGTTTTTGCATCTTATTACGGTTATTTCAACATTTATCATAAAATAATTAAATTCGATTTTGACATTTGACAGATTCTAACCTAACTTTTTTATTTTTTAACCTAAATAGGTCATGTTTGGTGTCAAATTAAAAGATTTTTGATTTTTATTACGATTATTACAACATTTATCATAAAATCATGAAATTCGATTTTGACATTTGATAGTTTTTAACCTTTTTCAAATTACCAAATTATACTTAATGCATCGTAAAGGAAATTAAAAATCCTTTAAAATAAGTCCAAACTTGACCTATTTATGTAAACATAAGTTGTATGTTAAAAAAAAACAAAATGGCGGATTCTTTAAAATTCTTAACCTAACTTTTTTGTTTTTTGATTCTAGTTCTAGGTCTTGTGTTAGTTCTAGTGATAGTACTAGTGTAAAACTAGGACTAACACTAGACTTTTTTTTGGGTTATGTTGTTGTCTAAAAGTTGGTTCTTATAAATATATTGTTGGTTATTAAATTACTTACGTATTTATGTACGTGTGGTTATATACACTCATAATAGGTGTTTCTGCGTAAAAATCGTTAATTTCTTCTTTGAAAATGAATTAATTTGTTAATAAACATAAATAGGGAAGTGACAGGCTACGTTCTAACCTCAATGTTTTAGGGTACGTTCTAAATCTGCATTTGTATAATCGGTTTAATTCATTCCTTTTAAGATTTATTTTAAATCTAAAAGAATTTTTTTATGTTATGCTGTTCATATCTCATAAAAGGCGTTTTTGTTCATATCTTCTATAAAAATCAACTAATTTGTTAATAAATATAAATAAGAAAGAAATAGGGTACGTTCTAAGTTTCAATTTAATTAAGATCATCTTCATTAATTACATTTTTTTTTAATTTTAATAATAATTAATTAATTTGTTATAAATAATACCAAATTAATAAAATAAATAAATTTGTTATAACAAAAAAAAATTTTTTTATTGAATTATAATAAAAAAAAATTTAGTGACTTTTATTTTTTTGAAGTTGGTTAAAAAGAAATTTAGAAACGTCAAATAAATTTTATGTCAAAATTCAAAGTGAAAAATGATTTTCGATGTTGAATTATGCACAACGAAGCAAGAAAAGTTATTTCACTTGATGGTTGGGTAACGTACTTGTGCTAACTCGACCGCAACTTTCCGAAGAGCACGGAACCATAGCGCAGAAACACCGAGTTTTCGGATACGAAACGGATTAAGCGAACTTGCTAAAACTCGTACGATGCTCGTTATTATCTCGTTAAAACTTACCACGGATATCCAAACCCTTTATTTAACAACACCGAACACCAAAAAGGTAGTGACGAAGGAGGTACGTATTATGTAAAAAAAAAAGTGAGGTTAAATTTAATTTTTTTGATTAAAATTGATTTATTTTATTTTTTAGTGCGATTCCTTTTAAAAGGCGGTTGAAATTGAATTTTTGACGTCTCGTTGAGATGAAATTGAGGTGAACCAATTTTCCACATTGTGCACATCACACAAAACGTTCCATAAACGACCAAAAAAACTGCGTTAATATAAAATTCGCATGTTTTATTATAAATTCCATTCTAACATGACTAAAAGAGAGTCTTCGTTATATTTAGGAGACACCGAATTAAGCGAAAACGAATGGAGAGATGGCGTGATGCAAATTCTAATTCGAAAAAGGACAAAAATAAAATCGTTTGAGATGGATTTTTATTTTAAGCAAACTGAGATTGTGGACGAGAATAGTTGGATTCGATTTTAAAGCGAAAGATATTCTCTTTTCTGCATTGGCGCGGTTTAAAGGGGGCTGAAAGGGGGGCGGCGCCCTCTAAAATACGATCGGTACTAATGGAAAAATAAGAGTGGCTTTTTCTAAAGGAGGAGGCGATATCTTGAGAAAAGGATTTTTCTGTGCTATTTTAAATTTTAGCTCTTTTAGAGGAAGTTAAAAATTCATTATTACTAAATGTTACTTTGTTGCTAATCGCTGAATAATGACGATGACGAAGTATCTAGACGACAATTTGAGACATTAATAATTACCCAATTTATGTAACAAGGTTGTTAAAAAAAAATTGGATCAAATTCGAATCAAATTAGGTTAATATGTATAAATACAACGATGTTAATTACTCCATTATAGTCTCAATATGATGAGTTTCGTGGTTGTTTCGATTTTTTTAGTACTTTTTGGGTTAATAATCGCTTGGTATTCTATATATTTCAAGTTTAAAAGGCATTTGAAAGGGTTGCCAACTGTCAAACAAGTTCCGCTGCTTGGATATGCGATTAACGTCCGAAATACGATTGGTGAGATCACGTTTGATGTTGTATTAAATATAATTAGTAGGGCACGGAATTTTTGTAACAAAACAATACGATTTCCCCCTCCACTTGTTCTCAGTGGCGTCCTAGAAAATAATTCGGAGGCGAGTTAACTTGATGCCTTAATGCGTTAATATTGAGAAAAACACAAAAATGTGAAAATTTGATGAATGTGTTACTTTTTCAAGGTGTTAATGATAGTACTCAGGAAAAAAAGCACGATACAAAAAAAATTTTAGAACAAAAGTTGTAGCAAATATTATACTTAACAATATTGGTCTCTTGCACTTTTGCTCTGAGATGCATAGATATCGAGAAAAATACGAAAATATGAAAATTTGATGAATTTCGGTGTTTCAAGTAGATGATGGTAACTTTCCGGAATCGGAGCATACTATAAAAAAACTTTTAGAACAAAAGTTGTAGCAAATTTTATTCTTAACAATATTGCTCTCTTGCACTTTTGCTCTGAGATGCATAGATATCGAGAAAAATACGAAAATATGAAAATTTGATGAATTTCGGTGTTTCAAGTAGGTGATGGTAACTTTCCGGAATCGGAGCATGCTATAAAAAAACTTTTAAAACAAAAGTTGTAGCAAATTTTATTCTTAACAATATTGCTCTCTTGCATTTTTGCTCTGAGATGCATAGATATCGAGAAAAATACGAAAATATGAAAATCTGATGAATTTCGGTATTTCAAGTAGGTGATGGTAACATTCCGGAATCGGAGCATGCTATAAAAAAACTTTTAGAACAAAAGTTGTAGCAAATTTTATTCTTAACAATATTGCTCTCTTGCACTTTTGCTCTTAAATGCATTGATATTGAGAAAAATACGTAAACGTGAAAATTTGTGTAAAAAACTTTTAGAACAGAAGTTGTAGTTGGACGCCACTGAGAACAAGTGAAGGAGGCAAATCGTATAGTTTTGTTACAAAAGTTCCGTGCCTTAATAATTAGATAAATTTTGTTGCAGATATTTACTCGTTTTTGTTATCTACATCAAGAGATGTGGGTAAAAATGCATTTGGGATGCTGGGTCCATTTCCAACGTTAATAACATCCGACCCAAAGATGTTTGCGCTAATTTTAGGATCCCCAAAGCACATTAACAAACCACCTTTGTATACGACCCTAGAAAACATGGTCGGAAATTCGTTACTTTTAACTAATGGTAATAATTAATTTGTATGGGATTAATAATGAATTTATTAATTTTAGGAGACGTTTGGAGGCATCAAAGGAAATTGCTCAACCCAGGGTTAGATTACACCAATGTGATGCAAAACATTAATGTTTTTAATGCTCAATCAGACGATTTAGTTAAAACTTTAGAGGGAGAAATAAATAAAGATTCAACCGAGTTAGAAAATTTCATCGAAACTTGGGCGTTAAAACAAACTTACGGTGAGATGAATTAATTTGTTTTAATCAAAATTAATTTGTTAATAAAATTAGAAACGATGATGGGGAGTAACGCGCCGGAGGAAGATCGAAACGAATTTTTAGAAAGTATAAAAACCGTCATGAAAATTGCAGTTAAAAGAAACGTGCGTCTCAACGAATTTTACAACATAACTTACGTTTTCACCAAGAATTTTTGGTTGGAACGAAGAGCGCTTAAAGTTATGAGGAAACATATCTGGGACATCATCGAGAACAAAAAGAAAGAAATGAACGAAGAATCAAATAAAAGAGAAAGACCGATTTTAATCGACATATTAATGAAGCAAAAACAAACCGATAAAAACGTTACATACGATTTTATCGCTAAACAACTCAATCTTATGGTTGCAGCGGTTAATAATTAACACTAAAATACTTAATAATTAAATTATTAACATTAAATTTTTAGGGTTTCGATACAAGCGGATCCGCAATTTGTTTCGCCCTTTACAACTTAGCAATTTTCCCAGAAATCCAGGTAATAATCTAACAACAAAAAATTAATAACCAATTTTAAAATAATTTTTAGAAAAAAGCTTACGAAGAACTCCACTCAATCCTAGGCGACGACGTAAATCAATTCATAACGCACCAACACGTAAAAGAAATGAAATATCTCGATTTGGTAATCAAAGAATCGATGAGAATCAAAACGACGGTTCCATTATTTGCAAGACAACTCCAAGAAGACGTTGATTTCGAAGGGATGACTCTCCCGAAAGAATTGACGATTATGTTGTTGGCTTACGCGATGCATTTAGACCCGGAAGTGTACCCGGAGCCGGAGAAATTTGTTCCGGAACGATTTTTGAAAGAAAATTTGAATCCGAATCGATATGGTTATGCTCCGTTTTGTGGGGGAGTTAGGAATTGTATTGGGCAAAAATACGCTCAGTTATCGATGAAGGTTGTTTTAGCGAAGATTTTGTTGCATTATGAGTTGGTTGATGTTAATCACGAACTTTGTTTGGCGGCGGAAATTACGTTGAGGTCAAAAACTGGGGTTAGAGTTGGAATTAGAAGAAGAATAATTAACAACAATTAAATTAAAGAAATAAAATATCATTTTGACACACACTAATTAACTTTTTTTATGTTCTAAACTCTTTGAACCTTGTGAAAAACTTGTATTAACTAATATAAGGATGTTTACAATCAACTAAAATCATTTTGACAATCACCAATAAGCTTTTTCTATTTTTTGACATCCTTTAAACACCTCCAAAAATAATCAAAATCATTTTTTTTAAGTCTTTTATCTTCCTGAATTATCAAGGAGATGTTTTTAATCGATTAAAAGAATTTTGAAACACACCAATATGCTTTTTCCACTTCAAAATTTTATTCAATTTTCTGGAAATTGCTATTATTAACATTTTTTGGCATTAACAAATAACCTAGAAGTGATTTCAATCAATTAGAATCATTTTGACACCCACCAATTAGGTTCTTCTAGTTTTTGACATCATTGAAACACCTCAAAAAATAATCAAAATCATTTCTATTAACTCTTTCATGCTCCTAAACTATCAAGGAGATGTTTTTAAACGATTAAAAAGATTTTGAAACACACCAATTACGTTTTACCATTTAAATTTTTTTTTGAATATTCTGGAAAACATCTTTTTTGTTATTATTAACATTTTTTAGCATTAATAAATGACCTAGAAGTGATTTCAATCGATTAGAATCATTTTGACACCCACCAATTAGGTTTTTCTAGCTTTTGACATCATTGAAACACCTCAAAAAATAATCAAAATAATTTCTATTCACTTTTTCATGCTCCTAATTTATCAAGGAGATGTTTTTAATCGATTAAAAAGATTTTGAAACACACCAATCACGTTTTTCCATTTAAATTTTTTTTTGAATATTCTGGAAAACACCTTCTTTGTTATTATTAACATTTTTTAGCATTAATAAATAACCTAGAAGTGATTTCAATCGATTAGAATCATTTTGACAACCACCAATTAGGTTTTTCTAGTTTTAGACATCATTGAAACACCTCAAAAAATAATCAAAATCGTTTCTATTAACTTTTTTATACTCCTAAACTATCAAGGAGATGTTTTTAATCGATTAAAAGAATTTTGAAACACACCAATCACCTTTTTCCAACTAAATTTTTTTTTGAATATTCTGAAAACATCTCCTTTGCTATTATTAACATTTTTGGGCATTAACAAATAACCTAGAAGTGATTTCAATCAATTAGAATCATTTTGACACCTACCAATTAGGTTTTTCTAGTTTTTGACATTTTTGAAACACCTCCAAAAATAGTCAAAACTTTTCTTTTTAATTCTTTCAGCCTCCTTAACTATCTAGGAGATATTTTTAATCGATTAAAAAAGTTTTGACTCCTACCAATTAAAATTTCCAATTTCAAAAATTTTCTGGAAAACATCTCCTTTGGTATAATTAACTTTTCTTGCCTATATCAAATAACCTAGAGGTGATTTCAATCGATTAGAATCATTTTGACATTCTTTATGCCTTTTTATGAACATTAAAAATGATCAAAAAGTGTCTAAACGTATTTAAGCATTTCCAGACGATTTTCAGAGATGTCTAAAAACATTCAGAAGATCCTTACACTATGCCATAGACGTTTTTATGAACATTGAGAATGACCAATAAGTGTCTAAACGTATTTTGGAAGCTACAAATGCTTCAAAAAACTTCTAAACTGATGTTTAATGACATTTAGGTATTCAAAAACAGTTTTGGAAATTGTCCAAAATTTTGGTAGATTTAAAAAATGTAAGTAGATTTAAAAAATGTTATGTCATTTACATATTTTGATTCAAATCAAAGATTGTCTAAAAGATAACTGTAATTTATTTATAAGTTACGATTTTTGAATTAAGTGAAGTTAGCCGCATTGATAAAACTAAGTCAAATTTTGACAGTTAATAATACAAACGTCATTTTTAACTCTTTTAATTAAAAAATGCTCGCTTGAAAGTTTTAAATCGAATATTTACTCAAAATTAAAGATATTTATAAATTAATCGTTAAAGTTGTTTTGAAAAAAAATCAAGAGATGGCGCTTTAGTGGTGAATTCCATAAAAAATAATAAATGGAATAATTTATAAAAAAAAATTTAATTTCTAATTAATACTAATTAAAGTATAAATAATATATTTTTTTTTTAATAAAATTTAAGTTAGGTTTTTGTAATTAATTAATTAATTAAGAAAAATTTTGACAGTTAACACGAAAGTGACACGTCGAGTACTAAAAACGATTTTAATTAAAAAAATGCTTTATTTATTTAGCGTTATTAGATCAATTTGCGAATTTAGCACCGAGTTATGAAGGTAAGCGAAATTTTAATTCGATTTTTCGTTATAAATCGATTAAATCAATTTTGACATTTAATGTCGATAAAGTAGATGTCTATTTAGCGATTATAAAACATAACCTTATCATCTGTCATCATAATCATCATAATGTAGAAATAAAGAATTAATTTAGATGAAATCTAATGTGTTTTATGAATTACATCCAGGTTGAAGAGGCATTTTATTAATTAATTAATTAATAAAAGGAACGATTGGAAGAACTGAAAAATAGCTAGATGGAGAAGTACTCTTTGTGGAAAGTCTAAAATGATCCCACAACACCCAAAGATAACAATAAAACGCTTATTAACATAAGTAAGTACTAAATCCAGGATGGTTATAAACCCTAGAACTTTGAGGTTGTCCAATTTGACAAGAAAATTGAAAAGGAAAAAACACTTGGAGCTAATGTAATGAAGTTAATGAAAAGTGGAGTACTTAAATTGCATTCGTTTTAATGATTTAACGAAATTGTTAAGTTTGAAAAACACCATTTAATAATTAACAATGACGAGTTATAATCAGCGCAATTAAAATTTGCCTTCAATTTAATGTTGAATGATTAATTAATAACCAATTAAGCAAGAACACATAAATAAGGAAATTAAGTTAAAATGGATCAATTTCAACATGTTTCCGATCGGATTCGTATTCGCCCCAATTTTTTTAATATTATTAGGGTTGATAATCGGTTGGTATTACATTTATTTCAAATTTAAAAGGCATTTGAAAGGGTTACCACGTCCTAAACAAATTCCGTTACTAGGAATTATGATTAATGTGCGAAATACCGTTGGTAAGATTGAATTTGATGTTGTTTTTAAGATAAATAATCAAATTTTGTTGTAGATATTTATAATGTTCTTTTATCAAACATAAGAAAATTGGGTAAAAACATATTTGGGATGCTCGGGCCGTTTCCAACATTAATAACATCCGACCCAAAAATGTTTGCGCTAATTTTAGGATCCCCAAAGCACATCAACAAACCACCTTTATATACGACCCTAGAAAACTCCGCAGGAAATTCGTTACTTTTAACTAATGGTAAAAATTGATTTGTGTGGGATTAAAAATTGATTTATTAATTTTAGGAGATGTTTGGAGGCGGCAAAGGAAATTACTTAATCCAGGGTTAGATTACACGAATGTAATGCAAAATATTAACGTTTTTAATACTCAATCTGATGATTTAATTAAAGCTTTAGAAGGAGAAATAAATAAAGAATCAACCGAGTTAGAAAATTTCATCGAAACTTGGGCGTTAAAACAAACTTACGGTGAGATGAATTAATTTGTTTTAATCAAAATGAATTTGTTAATAAAATTAGAAACGATGATGGGGAGTAACGCGCCGGAGGAAGATCGAAACGAATTTTTAGAAAGTATAAAAACCGTCATGAAAATTGCAGTTAAAAGAAACGTCCGTCTCCATGAATATTACAACATAACCTACGTTTTCACCAAGAATTTTTGGTTAGAACGAAAATGCATTAAAAAAATTTTGCATCACACCAAGAACATAATCGAGGATAAAAAAAAAGAAATTAAAGAAGAATCAAATAAAAGAGAAAGACCGATTTTAGTCGACATATTAATGAAGCAAAAACAAACCGATAAAAACGTTACATACGATTTTATCGCTAAACAACTCAATCTTATGGTTGCAGCGGTTAATAATTAACACTAAAATACTTAATAATTAAATTATTAACATTAAATTTTTAGGGTTTCGATACAAGCGGATCCGCAATTTGTTTCGCCCTTTACAACTTAGCAATTTTCCCAGAAATCCAGGTAATAATAATCAACAAAAAATTAATTAACCCCCTTTAAAATAATTTTTAGAAAAAAGCTTACGAAGAACTCCACTCAATCCTAGGCGACGACATAAATCAATTCATTACGCACCAACACGTAAAAGAAATGAAATATCTCGATTTGGTAATCAAAGAATCGATGAGAATCAAAACGACGGTTCCATTCTTTTTGAGACACCTCCAAGAAGACGTTGATTTCGAAGGGATGACTCTCCCGAAAGGATTGACGATTATGTTGTTGGCTTACGCGATGCATTTAGACCCGGAAGTGTACCCGGAGCCGGAAAATTTCGTTCCAGAACGATTTTTGAAAGAAAATTTGAATCCGAATCGATATAGTTATGCTCCGTTTTGTGGGGGAGTTAGGAATTGTATTGGGCAAAAATACGCTCAGTTATCGATGAAGGTTGTTTTAGCTAAGATTTTGTTGCATTATGAGTTGGTTGATGTTAATCATGAACTTTGTTTGGCATCGGAAATTACGTTAAGATCGAAAACTGGGGTTAAAGTTGGAATTAGAAAAAGAATGATTAATAATAATTGAATTAAAGAAATAAAATATCATTTTGACACACACTAATTAACTTTTTTTATGTTCTAAACTCTTTGAATCTTCTGAAAAACTTGTATTAACTAATATGAGGATGTTTACAATCAATTAGAATCATTTTGACAATCACCAATAAGCTTTTTCAATTTTTTGACATCATTTAAACACCTCCAAAATTAATTAAAATCATTTCTTTGAAGTCTTTTATCTTCCTGAATTATCAAGGAGATGTTTTAAATCGATTAAAAGAATTTTGAAACACACCAATATGTTTTTTCCGTTTCAAAATTTTATTAAATTTTCTGGAAATTGCTATTATTAACATTTCTTGGCATTAACTAATAACCTAGAAGTGATTTCAATCAATTAGAATCATTTTGATACCCACCAATTAGGTTTTTCTAGTTTTAGACATCATTGAAACACCTCAAAAAATAATCAAAATCGTTTCTATTAACTCTTTCATGCTCCTAAACTATCAAGGAGATATTTTTAATCGATTAAAATAATTTTGAAACACACCAATCACGTTTTTCCAATTAAATTTTTTTTTGAATATTCTGGAAAACATCTCTTTTGTTATTATTAACATTTCTTGGCATTAACAAATAACCTAGAAGTGATTTCAATCAATTAGAATCATTTTGACACCCACCAATTACGTTTTTCTAATTTTAGACATCATTGAAACACCTCAAAAAATAATCGAAATCATTTCTATTAACTCTTTCATGCTCCTAAACTATCAAGGAGATATTTTTAATCGATTAAAAACATTTTGAAACACACCAATTACGTTTCTCCATTTAAATTTTTTTTTGAATATTCTGGAAAACATCTCCTTTGCTATTATTGATATTTCTTGGCATTAACAAATAACCTAGAAGTGATTTCAATCAATTAGAATCATTTTGACACCCACCAATTAGGTTTTTCTAGTTTTAGACATCATTGAAACACCTCAAAAAATAATCAAAATCATTTCTATTAACTCTTTCATGCTCCTAAACTATCAAGGAGATGTTTTTAAACGATTAAAAAGATTTTGAAACACACCAATTACGTTTTTCCATTTAAATTTTTTTTTGAATATTCTGGAAAACATCTCCTTTGCTATTATTAACATTTCTTGGCATTAACAAATAACCTAGAAGTGATTTCAATCAATTAGAATCATTTTGACACCCACCAATTAGGTTTTTCTAGTTTTAGACATCATTGAAACACCTCAAAAAATAATCAAAATCATTTCTATTAACTCTTTCATGCTCCTAAACTATCAAGGAGATGTTTTTAATTGATTAAAAAGATTTTGAAACACACCAATCACGTTTTTCCATTTAAATTTTTTTTTGAATATTCTGGAAAACATCTCTTTTGTTATTATTAACATTTTATGGCATTAACAAATAACCTAGGAGTGATTTCAATCAATTAGAATCATTTTGACACCCACCAATTAGGTTTTTCTAATTTTAGACATCATTGAAACACCTCAAAAAATAATCAAAAACATTTCTATTAACTTTTTCATGGTCCTAATTTATCAAGGAGATGTTTTTACTCGATTAAAATAATTTTGAAACACACCAATCACGTTTTTCCAATAACATTTTTTTTTGTATATTCTGGAAAACATATCTTTTGTTATTATTAATATTTTTTGGCATTAACAAATAACCTAGAAGTGATTTCAATCAATTAGAATCATTTTGACACCCACCAATTAGGTTTTTCTAGTTTTAGACATCATTGAAACACCTCAAAAAATAATCAAAATCATTTCTATTAACTTTTTCATGCTCCTAATTTATCAAGGAGATGTTTTTACTCGATTAAAATAATTTTGAAACACACCAATCACGTTTTTCCAATAAAATTTTTTTTTTGTATATCTGGAAAACATATCTTTTGTTATTATTAACATTTTTTGGCATAAACAAATAACCTAGGAGTGATTTTAATCAATTAGAATCATTTTGACACCCACCAATTACGTTTTTCTAGTTTTAGACATCATTGAAACACCTCAAAAAATAATTAAAATCATTTCTATTAACTTTTTCATGCTCCTAATTTATCAAGGAGATGTTTTTACTCGATTAAAATAATTTTGAAACACACCAATCACGTTTTTCCAATAAAATCTTTTTTTTCTATATTCTGGAAAACATATCTTTTGTTATTATTAACATTTCTTGGCATTAACAAATAACCTAGAAGTGATCTAAATCAATTAGAATCATTTTGACACCCACCAATTACGTTTTTCTACTTTTAGACATCATTGAAACACCTCAAAAAATGATCGAAATCGTTTTTATTAACTTTTTCATGCACCTAATTTATCAAGGAGATGTTTTTACTCGATTAAAATAATTTTGAAACATACCAATCACGTTTTTCCAACAAATTTTTTTTTGTATATTCTGGAAAACATCTCTTTTGTTATTATTAACATTTCTTGGCATTAACAAATAACCAAGAAGTGATCTAAATCAATTAGAATCATTTTGACACCCACCAATTACGTTTTTCTAGTTTTAGACATCATTGAAACACCTCAAAAAATAATCGAAATCATTTTTATTCACTTTTTCATGCTCCTAATTTATCAAGGAGATGTTTTTACTCGATTAAAATAATTTTGAAACACACCAATCACGTTTTTCCATTTAAATTTTTTTTTGTATATTCTGGAAAACATCTCCTTTGCTACTATTGACATTTCTTGGCATTAACAAATAACCTAGAAGTGATTTCAATCAATTAGAATCATTTTGACACCCACCAATTACGTTTTTCTAGTTTTAGACATCATTGAAACACCTCAAAAAATAATCGAAATCATTTCTATTAACTTTTTCATGCTCCTAATTTATCAAGGAGATGTTTTTACTCGATTAAAATAATTTTGAAATACACCAATCACGTTTTTCCAATAAAATTTTTTTTTTGTGTATTCTGGAAAACATATCTTTTGTTATTATTAACATTTTTTGGCATTAACAAATAACCTAGGAGTGATTTTAATCAATTAGAATCATTTTGACATCCACTAATTACGTTTTTCTAGTTTTAGACATCATTGAAACACCTCAAAAAATAATCGAAATCATTTCTATTAACTTTTTCATGCTCCTAATTTATCAAGGAGATGTTTTTACTGGATTAAAACAATTTTGAAACACACCAATCACGTTTTTCCAATAAAATTTTTTTTTGTATATTCTGGAAAACATATCTTTTGTTATTATTAACATTTCTTGGCATTAACAAATAACCTAGAAGTGATTTCAATCAATTAGAATCATTTTGACACCCACCAATTAGCTTTTTCTAGTTTTTGACATCTTTGAAACACCTCCAAAAATAGTCAAACCTTTTTTTTTATTCTTTCAGTCTCCTTAACTATCTAGGAGATATTTGTAATCGATTAGAAAAGTTTTGACTCCCACCAATTAACATTTTCCAGGTTCAAAATTTTTTTAATTTTCTGGAAAACATCTCCTTTGGTATAATTAACTTTTCTTGCCTATATCAAATAACCTAGAGGTGATTTCAATCGATTAGAATCATTTTGACACACACCTTTATGCATTTTTATGAACATTAAAAATGATCAAAAAGTGTCTAAACGTATTTTGGGAATCTTCGAGCATTTCTAGACGATTTTTAGGGATGTCTAGAAACATTCAGAATGACCAATAAGTGTCTAAACGTATTTTGAAAGCTCCAAATGCTTCAAAGAACTTCTAAACTGATATTCAATGACATTTAGGGATCCAAAAATAGTTTTGGTCATATTTTGATTCAAATCAAAGATTGTCTAAATGTTTCCTAATAAAGATTAAAGAAGTTAATTGAGTAAAGAAGCTCAAGATAACTGTAATTTATTTATAAGTTCGGATTTTTTAATTAAATGAAGTTAGCCGCTCTTTTAATTAAAAAATGCTCGATTGAGAGTTTTAATCGAATATTTACTCAAAATTAAAGATATTTTTAAATTAATTGTTAAAGTTGTTTTAAAAGAGAATCAAGAGATGGCGCTTTAGTGGTGAATATCATAAAAAATAATAAATTAAATGAAATTTATAAAAAAAAATTAACTAATTAATACTAATTAAAGAATAAACAATAATTTTTAGTAAGTTAATTAATTCAAGTTTATATAATTAATTAATTAAACGAGATTGGTAGCAAACTAACTCAAATTTTGACAGTTAACACGAAAGTGACACGTCGAGTACTTAAAACGATTTTAATTAAAAAAATGCTTTATTTATTTAGCGTTATTAGATCAATTTGCGAATTTAGCACCGAGTTATAAAGGTAAGCGAAATTTTAATTCGATTTTTTATTAAAAATCGATTAAATCAATTTTGACATTTGATGTCGATAAAGTAGATGTCTATTTAGCGATTATAAAACATAACCTTATCTTGTCATCTGTCATCATAATGTAGAAATGAAAAATTAATTTAGATAAAATCTAATGTCTTTTATGAATTACATCCAGGGTGAAGAGGCATTTTATTAATTAATAAAAGGAACGATTGGAAGAACCGAAAAACAGTTAGATGGAGAAGTACTCTTTGTGGAAAGTCTAAAATGATCCCACAATACCCAAAGATAACAATAAAACGCTTATTAACATAAGTAAGTACTAAATCCAGGATGGTTATAAACCCTAGAACTTTGAGGTTGTCCAATTTGACAAGAAAATTGAAAAGAAAAAAACACTTGGAGCTAATGTAATGAAGTTAATGAAAAGTGGAGTACTTACATTTCTATTTGCATTCGTTTTAATGATTTAACGAAATTGTTAAGTTTGAAAAACACCACTTAATAATTAACAATGACGAGTTATAATCAGCGCAATTAAAATTTGCCTTCAATTTAATGTTGAATGATTAATTAATAACCAATTAAGCAAGAACACATAAATAAGGAAATTAAGTTAAAATGGATCAATTTCAACATGTTTCCGATCGGATTCGTATTCGCCCCAATTTTTTTAATATTATTAGGGTTGATAATCGGTTGGTATTACATTTATTTCAAATTTAAAAGGCATTTGAAAGGGTTACCAGGTCCTAAACAAATTCCGTTACTAGGAATTATGATTAATGTGCGAAATACCGTTGGTAAGATTGAATTTGATGTTGTTTTTAAGATAAATAATCAAATTTTGTTGTAGATATTTATAATGTTCTTTTATCAAACATAAGAAAATTGGGTAAAAACATATTTGGGATGCTCGGGCCGTTTCCAACATTAATAACATCCGACCCAAAAATGTTTGCGCTAATTTTAGGATCCCCAAAGCACATCAACAAACCACCTTTATATACGACCCTAGAAAACTCCGCAGGAAATTCGTTACTTTTAACTAATGGTAAAAATTGATTTGTGTGGGATTAAAAATTGATTTATTAATTTTAGGAGATGTTTGGAGGCGGCAAAGGAAATTACTTAATCCAGGGTTAGATTACACGAATGTAATGCAAAATATTAACGTTTTTAATACTCAATCTGATGATTTAATTAAAGCTTTAGAAGGAGAAATAAATAAAGAATCAACCGAGTTAGAAAATTTCATCGAAACTTGGGCGTTAAAACAAACTTACGGTGAGATGAATTAATTTGTTTTAATCAAAATGAATTTGTTAATAAAATTAGAAACGATGATGGGGAGTAACGCGCCGGAGGAAGATCGAAACGAATTTTTAGAAAGTATAAAAACCGTCATGAAAATTGCAGTTAAAAGAAACGTCCGTCTCCATGAATATTACAACATAACCTACGTTTTCACCAAGAATTTTTGGTTAGAACGAAAATGCATTAAAAAAATTTTGCATCACACCAAGAACATAATCGAGGATAAAAAAAAAGAAATTAAAGAAGAATCAAATAAAAGAGAAAGACCGATTTTAGTCGACATATTAATGAAGCAAAAACAAACCGATAAAAACGTTACATACGATTTTATCGCTAAACAACTCAATCTTATGGTTGCAGCGGTTAATAATTAACACTAAAATACTTAATAATTAAATTATTAACATTAAACTTTTAGGGTTTCGATACAAGCGGATCCGCAATTTGTTTCGCCCTTTACAACTTAGCAATTTTCCCAGAAATCCAGGTAATAATAATCACAACAAAAAATTAATTAACCCCCTTTAAAATAATTTTTTAGAAAAAAGCTTACGAAGAACTCCACTCAATCCTAGGCGAAAACATAAATCAATTCATAACGCACCAACACGTAAAAGAAATGAAATATCTCGATTTGGTAATCAAAGAATCGATGAGAATCAAAACGACGGTTCCATTCTTTTTGAGACAACTCAAAGAAGATGTTGATTTCGAAGGGATGACTCTCCCGAAAGGATTGACGGTTATGTTGTTGGCTTACGCGATGCATTTAGACCCGGAAGTGTACCCGGAGCCGGAAAAATTCGTTCCCGAACGATTTTTGCAAGAAAATTTGAATCCGAATCGATATGGTTATGCTCCGTTTTGTGGGGGAGTTAGGAATTGTATTGGGCAAAAATACGCTCAGTTATCGATGAAGGTTGTTTTAGCTAAGATTTTGTTGCATTATGAGTTGGTTGATGTTAATCATGAACTTTGTTTGGCGGCGGAAATTACGTTGAGGTCAAAAACTGGGGTTAGGGTTGGAATAAGAAAAAGAATGATTAATAATAATTAAATTAAAGAAATAAAATATCATTTTGACACACACTAATTAACTTTTTTTATATTCTAAACTCTTTGAAGCTTCTGAAAAATTTGTATTAACTAATATGAAGATGTTTTCAATGAATTAGAATCATTTTGACACCCACCAAAAAGCTTTTTCTAGTTTTTGACATCATTGAAATACCTCCAAAAATAATCAAAATCTTTTTTTTTAACTCTTTTATTTTCCTGAACTATCAAAGAGATGTTTTTAATCGATTAAAAGGATTTTGAAACACACCAATCTGCTTTTTCCATTTCAACATTTTATTAAATTAACATTTCTTGGCATTACCAAATAATCTAGAAGTGATTTCAATCAATTAGAATCATTTTGACACCCACCAATTAGGTTTTTCTAGTTTTAGACATCATTGAAACACCTCAAAAAATAATCAAAATCATTTCTATTAACTTTTTCATGCTCCTAAACTATCAAAGAGATGTTTTTAATCGATTAAAAGAATTTTGAAACACACCAAATCACCTTTCTTCAATTTAAAATTATTTTGGACATTTTGGAAAATATCTATTGCTATTATTAACATTTTTTGGCATTAGCAAATAACCTAGAAGCGATTTCAATCAATTAGAATCATTTTGACACCCACCAATAAGCTTTTTCTATTTTTTGACATCATTGAAATCCCTCCAAAAATAATCAAAATCATTTCTATTAACTCTTTCATGCTCCTAAACTATCAAGGAAGTGTTTTTAATCGATTAAAAAGATTTTGAAACACACCAATCACGTTTTTCCTATTTAAAATTTTTTTGAACATTCTGAAAAAACATCTCCTTTGCTATTATTAACATTTCTTGGTATTAACAAATAACCTAGAAGTGATTTCAATCAATTAGAATCATTTTGACACCCACCAATTAGGTTTTTCTAGTTTTAGACATCATTGAAACACCTCAAAAAATAATCAAAATCATTTCTATTAACATTTTCATGCTCCTAAACTGTCAAGGAGATGTTTTTAATCAATTAAAAGGATTTTGAAACACACCAATCACGTTTTTCCAATTAAATATTTTTTTGAATAGTCTGGAAAACATCTCCTTTGCTATTATTAATATTTCTTGACATTAACAAATAACCTAGAAGTGATTTCAATCAATTGGAATCATTTTGACACCCACCAATTAGGTTTTTCTAGTTTTTGACATCATTGAAACACCTCACAAAATAATCAAAATCATTTCTATTAACTCTTTCATGCTCCTAAACTATCAAGGAGATGTTTTTAATCGATTAAAAGAATTTTGAAACACACCAATCACGTTTTTCCAATTAAATTTTTTTTTGAATATTCTGGAAAACATCTCTTTTGTTATTATTAACATTTTTTGGGATTAATAAATAACCTAGAAGTGATTTCAATCAATTAGAATCATTTTGACACCCACCAATAAGCTTTTTCTACTTTTTGATATCCTTGAAACACCTCCAAAAATAGTAAAAATCTTTTTTTTTTAAGTTTTTCAGCCTCCTTAACTATCTAGGAGACGTTTTTAATCGATTAAAAAAGTTTTGACTCCAACCAATTAACTTTTTCCAATTTCAAAAATTTTTGATTTTTCTGGAAAACATCTCCTTTGGTATAATTAAGTTTTCTTGTCTATATCAAATAATCTAGAGGTGATTTCAATCGATTAGAATCATTTTGACACCCACCAATAAGTTTTTTCTATTTTTTGAAATCTTTGAAATACCTCCAAAAACAATCAAAATCATTTTTTTTAATTCTTTCATCCCCCTAAACTATCTAGGAGATGTTTTTAATCGATTAAAAGAATTTTGACTCCAACCAATTAACAATTTCCATTTTCAAAAATTTTTGAGTTTTCTGGAAAACATCTCCTTTGGTATAATTAAGTTTTCTTGTCTATATCAAATAATCTAGAGGTGATTTCAATCGATTAGAATCATTTTGACACACGCCTTTATGCATTTTTATGAACATTAAAAATGATCAAAAAGTGTCTAAACGTATTTTGGGAATTTTCAAGCATTTCCAGACGATTTTCAGAGAAGTCTAAAAACATTCAGACGATTCCTAACACTTTCCTATGCCATACGAATATTTTTATGAACATTGAAAATGACCAATAAGTGTCTAAACATATTTTTGGAAAGTTCCAAACATTGTCCTAAAAAAAAAGTTCTAAACTGCTGCAAACTGCTGTTCAATGACATCTAGTGATCCAAAAACAGTTTTGGAAATTGTCAAAAATTTTGGTAGTGATTTAAAAAATGTCGAAATTTTTTTAAAGCCTTTTTCCTAATACTTTCCAGTGCCATTTACATAATTTGATTAAAATCAAAAATTGCCTCCAGTAGCTTTCTAATGTTTTCCAACTCTATCTAAAGACATATAATGATTTCAAAAATTATCAAAAAGGTTCCAAACATATTTTGAGTATTGTCAGAAGTATTTAACGATTTCCTGATTAGCCCAGATATGCTTAAAAAACAGCCCGAATCATTCAAAAAGTGTCTAAACGTTTTAGGAAAATTTTCAAAAACTCCTAGAATATTTTGAACGATGTCAAAAGATTTTTAAAATCTTCAAAATGAATTTGTAAGCTATTTAAGGGTATTTAGCAATTTCTTAATCCAACCAGAGACATTTTAGGATGTCCAAAATATTCAAAAAATATCCAAATGTTTTTTGAAAATATTTAAAGATTTTCAAAGATGTCAAAAAAGTTTTAGAGCCATCTTAATGATTTTTTAAGTCATTTAAGGTTGTCTAAATACTTTCTAAGTCATCCAGGGATCATTAAAGATTCTCAATAATCATAGAAAAGTGTCTAAACGTTTTTTGGAAATTTTAGAGTCTTCCAAATGACTTTTAAAAGCCATTTTAGGTTGTCTAAACACTACCCGAGTCATCTAGAGATGTTGAAACATTATAAAAAAGTGTCTAAACGTTTTTTGGAAATTGCCAAAAATTTCTAGAACACTTTCAACTATATCAACACATTTTTAAAGCGTTCCAAATGACTTTCTAAGCCAATTAAGGTTGTTTAAACACTTCCCAAGTCATCTAGAGATGTTGGAACGTTATAAAAAAGTGTCTAAACGACTTTTGGAAATTGCCAAAATTTTTCTAGAACACTTTCAACTATGTCAAAACATTTTTAGAGTCTTCCAAATGACTTTTTAAGCCATTTAAGGTTGTCTAAACACTTCCAGAGTCATCAAGAGATGTTGAAATATTATAAAAAAGTGTCTAAACGACTTTTGAAAATTGCCAGAAATTCTTAGAACACTTTCGACTATGTCAAAACATTTTTAAAGACGTTTTAAGCCAATTAAGGTTGTTTAAACACTTCCCAAGTCATCTAGAGATGTTGGAACGTTATAAAAAAGTGTCTAAACGACTTTTGGAAACTGCCAAAATTTTTCTAGAACACTTTCAACTATGCCAAACATTTTTAGAGTCTTCCAAATGACTTTTTAAGCCATTTAAGGTTGTCTAAACACTTCCCGAATCATCTAGAGATATCAAAATGTTATAAAAAAGTGTCCAAACGTTTTTTGGAAATTGCCAAAAATTTCTAGAACACTTTCAACTATATCAACACATTTTTAAAGCGTTCCAAATGACTTTCTAAGCCAATTAAGGTTGTTTAAACACTTCCCAAGTCATCTAGAGATGTTGGAACGTTATAAAAAAGTGTCTAAACGACTTTTGGAAATTGCCAAAATTTTTCTAGAACACTTTCAATTGTGTCAAAACATTTTATAGTCTTCCAAATGACATTTTAAGCCATTTAAGGTTGTCTAAACACTTCCAGAGTCATCAAGAGATGTTGAAATATTATAAAAAAGTGTCTAAACGACTTTTGGAAATTTCCAGAAATTCTTAGAACACTTTCGACCATGTCAAAACATTTTTAAAGCGTTCCAAATGACTTTTTAAGCCAATTAAGGTTGTTTAAACACTTCCCAAGTCATCTAGAGATGTTGGAATATTATAAAAAGTGTCTAAACGACTTTTGGAAACTGCCAAAATTTTTCTAGAACACTTTCAACTATGTCAAAACATTTTTAAAGTGTTCCAAATGACCTTTTAAGCCATTTAGGGTTGTCTGAACACTTCCAGAGTCATCTAGAGATGTCAAAACGTTATAAAAAAATGTCTAATCGTTTTTTGGGAATTGGCAAAAATTCTTAGAACACTTTCGACTATGTCAAAACATTTTTAAAGACTTTTTAAGCCATTTAAGGTTGTCTAAACACTTCCCGAGTCATCTAGGGATGTTGTAGCTTTATAAAAAAGTGTCTTAAAGTATTTCGGAAATTTTCAGATATTCCTAGAATATTTTCAAAGATGTCACAAGATTTTTAAAGTCTTCCAAATGATTTCCTAAGTCATTTAAAGGTATTTAACAATTTCCTAATTTAACCAGAGACATTTAAGGATGTCCTAAATATCTAAAAAGTGTCCAAAGGTTTCTTTGGAAATTTTTTACGATTTTACAAGATTTTCAAAGATGTCAAAAAATTTGTAGAATCCTCCTAATGATTTTTTAAGTTATTTAAGGTTGTCTAAAGACTTTCTAAGTCATCCAGATATCATTAAAGATTCTAAATAATCATAAAAGAGTGTCTAAACGTTTTTTGGAAATTTTCAAAAACTCCTAGAATGTTTTTAAAGATGTCAAAACATTCTTAAAGTCTTCCAAATGATTTTTTAAGCTATTTAAGGTTGTCTAAACACTTCCTGAGCCATTTAGAGATGTTGAAACGTTATAAAAAATTGTCTAAACGTTTTTTTAGAAATTGCCAAAAATTTCTAGAACTCTTTTAACTGTGTCAAAACATTTTTAAAGTCTACCAAATGACTTTTTAAGCCATTTAAGGTTGTCTAAATACATCCCGAGTCATCTAGATGTGTTGAAACGTTATAAAAAAGTGTCTAAACGTTTTTTAGAAATTGCCAACAATTTCTAGAACACTTTTAACTGTGTCAAAACATTTTTAAAGTCTTCCAAATGACTTTTTAAACCATTTAGGGTTGTCTAAACACTTCCTGAGTCATCTAGAGGTGTTGAACCGTTATAAAAAAGTGTCTAAACGTTTTTTAGAAATTGCCAAAAATTTCTAGAACACTTTTAACTGTGTCAAAACATTTTTAAAGTCTTCCAAATGACTTTTTAAATCATTTAGGGTTGTCTAAACACTTCCCGAGTCATCTAGAGGTGTTGAAACGTTATAAAAAAGTGTCTAAACGTTTTTTAGAAATTGCCAAAAATTTCTAGAACACTTTTAACTTTGTCAAAACATTTTTAAAGTCTTCCAAATGACTTTTTAAACCATTTAGGGTTGTCTAAACACTTCCTGAGTCATCTAGAGATGTTGAAACGTTATAAAAAAGTGTCTACATGTTTTTCGGAAATTTTCAAAAACTCCTAGGATATTTTTGAAGATGTCAAAACATTTTTAAAGTCTTCCAAATAACTTTTTAAACCATTTAAGGTTGTCTAAATACATCCCGATTCATCAAGAGGTGTTGAAAGGTTATAAAAAAATGTCTAAACGTTTTTTAGAAATTGCCAAAAATTTCTAGAACACTTTTAACTGTGTCAAAACATTTTTAAAGTCTTCCAAATGACTTTTTAAACCATTTAGGGTTGTCTAAACACTTGCTGAGTCATCTAGAGGTGTTGAAACGTTATAAAAAAATGTCTAAACGTTTTTTAGAAATTGCCAAAAATTTCTAGAACACTTTTAACTGTGTCAAAACATTTTTAAAGTCTTCCAAATGACTTTTTAAACCATTTAGGGTTGTCTAAACACTTCCTGAGTCATCTAGAGATGTTAAAACGTTATAAAAAAGCGTCTAAATGTTTTTCGGAAACTTCCAAAAACTCCTAGAATATTTTTGAAGATGTCAAAACATTTTTAAAGTCTTCCAAATGACTTTTTAAACCATTTAGGGTTGTCTAAACACTTCCTAAGTCATCTAGAGATGTTGAAACGTTATAAAAATGTGTCTAAATGTTTTTCGGAAATTTTCAAAAACTTCTAGAATATGTTTGAAGATGTCAAAACATTTTTAAAGTCTTCCAAATGACTTTTTAATCCATTTAAGGTTGTCTAAACACTTCTAGAGTCATAGGGACGTTGGAACGTTATAAAAAAGTGTTATAAAACACTTTCAACGATGTCAAAAAATGTTTAAAGCCTTTTCCAAGTTATTAAAGGGTATTTAACGACTTCCTAACTAAACCAGGGATGTTCCAGAACACCCAAAATGTTTTTAATGAATTAATTAGTTCATTTTCAACCATAAAGTGAAATAATTACTTAATTATTTAGACATTGATATAAACTAATCGTGTTGAATTAGTAGTTGAGAGAAAAACATCATGCGCGTCAATAATTAATTAAGTGGTATCGAAACGATACAATTAGAACATAATTTATTGAGTTGTAAGATGCTGGAAATGACTTATTAATTATTTCGAGTGGAACATAAAGAGAAATCGCTTCGAAATGTAATTAAATCTCGAGATGTCGCCGATTGTATTCGTTGGAGTTTTGATTTTAACCATTTTCGCAGTGTTAATAATCGCTTGGTACTACATTTATTTTAAATATAAGAAGTGTTTGAAAGGGTTACCGATTCCGAGGCAAATTCCGCTTTTGGGGGTGACGATTCATGTTCGAAACACAGTCGGTGAGGATTTAATCTAATTGTTAATTAATTTTTTAATTAATTATCGTTTTTGGTAGATATTTATCGAGTTATTTTATCTTATATGAGCGTTTTGGGTAAAAATGTTTATGTGATGTTGGGACCTTTCCCAACGTTGTTCACGAAAGACCCCAAAGTGTTTGCGCTAATTCTAGGATCGCCGAAACACATTAATAAACCACCTTTATATAAGACATTGGAGAATATTGCTGATAATACCTTATTGTTAACGAATGGTGATGTTTGGAGGCATCAAAGAAAGTTGCTTAACCCGGGGTTGGATTACATGAATGTGATGCAAAACATTAATGTTTTTAATGCTCAATCTGATGAATTAGTTAAAATTTTAGAAGGGGAAATAAATAAAGAATCAACCGAGTTAGAACATTTCATCGAAACTTGGGCGTTAAAACAAACTTACGGTGAGATGAATTAATTTGTTTTAATCAACATGAATTTGTTAATAAAATTAGAAACGATGATGGGGAGTAACGCGCCGGAGGAAGATCGAAACGAATTTTTAGAGAGTATAAAAACCGTCATGAAAATTGCAATTAAAAGAAACGTGCGTCTCAACGAATTTTACAACATAACCTACGTTTTCACCAGGAATTTTTGGTTGGAACGAAAAGCGCTTAAAGTTATGAGGAAACATATCTGGGACATCATCGAGAACAAAAAGAAAGAAATTAAAGAAGAATCAAATAAAAGAGAAAGACCGATTTTAATCGACATATTAATGAAGCAAAAACAAACCGATAAAAACGTTACATACGATTTTATCGCTAAACAACTCAATCTTATGGTTGCAGCGGTTAATAATTAACACTAAAATACTTAATAATTAAATTATTAACATTAAATTTTTAGGGTTTCGATACAAGCGGGTCCGCAATTTGTTTCGCCCTTTACAACTTAGCAATTTTCCCAGAAATCCAGGTAATAATAATCACAACAAAAAATTAATTAACCCCCTTTAAAATAATTTTTTAGAAAAAAGCTTACGAAGAACTCCACTCAATCCTAGGCGAAAACATAAATCAATTCATAACGCACCAACACGTAAAAGAAATGAAATATCTCGATTTGGTAATCAAAGAATCGATGAGAATCAAAACGACGGTTCCATTCTTTTTGAGACAACTCAAAGAAGATGTTGATTTCGAAGGGATGACTCTCCCGAAAGGATTGACGGTTATGTTGTTGGCTTACGCGATGCATTTAGACCCGGAAGTGTACCCGGAGCCGGAAAAATTCGTTCCCGAACGATTTTTGCAAGAAAATTTGAATCCGAATCGATATGGTTATGCTCCGTTTTGTGGGGGAGTTAGGAATTGTATTGGGCAAAAATACGCTCAGTTATCGATGAAGGTTGTTTTAGCGAAGATTTTGTTGCATTATGAGTTGGTTGATGTTAATCATGAACTTTGTTTGGCGGCGGAAATTACCTTGAGGTCAAAAACTGGGGTTAGGGTTGGAATTAGAAAAAGAATGATTAATAATAATTGAATTAAAGAAATAAAATATTATTTTGACACACACTAATTAACTTTTTTTATGTTCTAAACTCTTTGAACCTTCTGAAAAACTTGTATTAACTAATATGAAGATGTTTTCAATCAATTAGAATCATTTTGACACCCACCAAAAAGCTTTTTCTAGTTTTAGACATCATTGAAATACCTCCAAAAAGAATCAAAATCATTTTTATTAATTCTTTTATCTTCCTGAACTATCAATATGCTTTTTCAATTTCAAAATTTTATTAAATTTTCTGAAAATTGTTAATATTAACATTTCTTAGCATTAACTAATAACCTATAAGTGATTTCAACCATTTAGAATCATTTTGACACACACCAATTAGGTTTTTCTAGTTTTAGACATCATTGAAACACCTCAAAAAATAATCAAAATCATTTCTATTAACTTTTTCATGGTCCTAAACTATCAAGGAGATGTTGTTAATCGATTAAAAGAATTTTGAAACACACTAATATGCTCTTTCTATTCCAAAATTTTCTGGAAAACATCTCCTTTGCTATTATTAACATTTCTTGGTATTAACAAATAACCTAGAAGTAATTTCAATCAATTAGAATCATTTTGACACCCACCAATTAGGTTTTTCTAGTTTTTGACATTATTGAAATACCTCAAAAAATAATTAAAATCATTTCTATTAACTCTATTATACTCCTAAATCATCAAGGAGATGTTTTTAATCGATTAAAAAGATTTTGAAACACACCAATCACGTTTTTCCCATTTAAAATTTTGTTGAATATTCTGAAAAAACATCTCCTTTGCTATTATTAATATTTCTTGGCATTAATAAATAACCTAGAAGTAATTTCAATCAATTAAAATCATTTTGACACCCACCAATTAGGTTTTACTAGTTTTTGATATCATTGAAACACCTCAAAAAATAATCAAAACCGTTTCAATTAACTCTTTCACGCTCCTAAACCATCAAAGAGGTGTTTTTAATCGATTAAAAGAATTTTGAAACACACCAATCACGTTTCTCCTATTTAAAATTTTGTTAAACGTTCTGCAAAAAACATCTCCTTTGCTATTATTAACATTTCTTGGTAGTAACAAATAACCTAGAAGTAATTTCAATCAATTAGAATCATTTTGACACCCACCAATTAGGTTTTTCAAGTTTTAGACATCATTGAAACACCTCAAAAAATAATCAAAATCATTTCTATTAACTCTTTCATGCTCCTAAACTATCAAGGAGGTGTTTTTAATCGATTAAAAGAATTTTGAAACACACCAATCACGTTTTTCCTATTTAAAATTTTTTTGAACATTCTTAACAAACATCTCCTTTGCTATTATTATCATTTCTTGGTATTAACAAATAACCTAGAAGTGATTTCAATCAATTAGAATCATTTTGACACCCACCAATTGGGTTGTTCTAGTTTTTGACATCATTGAAACACCTCAAAAAATAATCAAAATCGTTTCTATTAACTTTTTCATGCTCCTAAATTATCAAGGAGATGTTTTTAATCGATTAAAAGAATTTTGAAACACCAATCACATTTTGCCTATTTAAAATTTTTTTGAATACTCTGAAAAAACATCTCTTTTGCTATTATTAATATTTCTTGGCATTAATAAATAACCTAGAAGTGCTTTCAATCAATTAGAATCATTTTGACACCCACCAATTAGGTTTTTCTATTTTTTGACATCACTGAAACACCTCAAAAAATAATCAAAATCATTTCTATTAACTCTTTCATGCTCCTAAACTATCAAGGAGATGTTTTTAATCGATTAAAAGAATTTTGAAACACACCAATCAGCTTTTACCACTTTAAATTTTTTTGAATATTTTGGAAAACATCTCCTTTGCTGTTAGTAACATTTCTTGGCTTCGGCAAATAACCTAAATGTGATTTCAATCGATTAGAATCATTTTGACACCCACCAATAAGCTTTTTCTATTTTTTGATATCTTTGAAACACCTCCAAAAACAACTAAAACCTTTTTTTTTATTCTTTCCATATAAAATTTAGGCACAATTGTTTTTCTGTAAACCGTTTCAATTTCCAGAAAATATTTGGACAAGATATCTGCTTATCTTTGGAAATGCTTGAAGATGTCTGGATATCTCTCTACATCAACAATCTAAATCAATACTCCTAATGGCAGAAAATTTCTTTCTATGTCTGAAAGTCTTTATGTCAAAAATCCCAAAACAGCTTTAATGGCAGAAATGTGCACCGGAAACTGTTGGAATTTCCAGAAATAAATTTAGAATTTCTTGAAATCTGACAAAATAAAATTTTTTCTGGAAACCTTTGGAATTAAAAAAAAAATATTTTGCAATTTCTAGATATCTTTGAAAATACTTACAACATTTTTATGAGAAAATCTTAAAAGGTTTCTAATAACAGAAATAATCTGCAAAATCTGTTGCAATTTCCAGGAAATCATTACCAGAAATATACTCTGGAAACCGTCAAATTTCAAAAACAATTTAAACAAAACTTAATGGCCAAAATTCCTTCTGGAAGCTTATAAAATTTTCAAAAATTGTTTATTAAATTTAATTGCATTAAATTGCTTAAATTTGATACCAAACGTGACGTATTTAGGTTAAGACGTGAAAAAATTAAATTGAAAATTATCAAATGTCAAAATCGAATTTAATTGTTTTTTGATAAATATTGAAATAATTTTAATAAGAATTAAAAATGCTTTCATTTGATACCAAACACAACTTATGTAGGTTAAAAAAGTAAAAAGTTAGGTTAGAAACTGTCAAATGTCAAAATCGAATTTAATTCTTTTATGATAAATATTGAAATAATCTTAATGAGAATCAAGAATGTTTTAATTTGATACCAAACACGACTTATTTCGGTTAAAAAATGAAAAAGTTAAGTTAAAAACTGTCAAATGTCAAAATCGAGTACTTTCAATGAAAAATTATCTCTGATTTTCTTAACAAGATTTTAAAATCATTAAATTTAATACCAAACACGATATATTTAGGTTAAAAAATAAGAAAGCTACGTTAGAAGCGTCACATGTCAAATCTCCGCCATTTTGTTTGTTAAAAATTAAGATATCTCGATAACGATTAGAGATAAATATGTCGAGTTTGGGTTCATATTTAACGATTTTTAATCGCCAGCCTAATTTTATGAAGAAATCAACAACTTGACAACTAAGAAAATTGTCAACTGTCAAAATCGAATATTTCTTATTGAAAAATTATCTTTGATTTTCTTAATAAGAATGAAAAATCCTTTAATTTAACACCAAACATGACACATTTAGGCTAAAAAACAAAAAAGTTAAGTTAGATGTCAAATTTCCGCCATTTTGTTTGTTAAAAATTAAGATATCTCGATAACGATTAGAGATAAATATGTCGAGTTTGGGTTCATATTTAATGATTTTTAATCGTCAATCTAATTTTATGAAGAAACCAACAACTTGACAACTAAGAAAATTGTCAAATGTCAAAATCGAATATTTTGTAATGAAAAATTATCTTTAATTTTCTTAATAAGAATTAAAAATACTTTAATTTGACACTAAACATGTCACATTTAGGTTAAAAAAAGAAGTTAGGTTAGAAGATGTCAAATGTCATATCTCCGCCATTTTGTTTGCTAAGAATTAAGATATCTCGATAACGATTAGAGATAAATATGTCGAGTTTGGGTTCATATTTAACGATTTTTAATCGCCAATCTAATTTTATGAGAAAACCAACAACTTGACAGCTAAGAAAATTGTCAAATGTCAAAATCGAATATTTTTTAATGAAAAATTATTCTTTAATTTTCTTAATAAGAATTAAAAATACTTTAATTTGACACCAAACACGATATATTTAAGGCAAAAAACAAAAAAGTTAGGTTAGAAGATGTCAAAATTCCGCCATTTTGTTTGCTAAGAATTAAGATATCTCGACAACGATTAGAGATAAATATGTCGAGTTTGGGTTCATATTTAACGATTTTTAGTCGTCAATCTAATTTTATGAAGAAACCAACAACTTTACAATTAAAACAATTGTCAAATGTCAAAATCGAATATTTTTTAATGACAAATTATGTTTAATTTTCTTAATAGGAAACAAAAATCTTTTAATTTGACACCAAACACGTCATATTTAGACTAAAAAAAGAGGTTAGGTTAGAAGATGTCAAATGTCATATCTCCGCCATTTTGTTTGTTAAGAATTAAGATATCTCGATAACGGTTAGAGATAAATATGTCGAGTTTGGGTTCATATTTAACGATTTTTAACCGTCAATCTAATTTCAACAAAAAAAATTTGCAAATTTCCCGATTTTCCGTAATTTTTAGCAGCTTTTCCACGGAACATTTAGATCCCTTTTGTAATACTTCCAGGAGTACGTACTTCAATTAAAACTTAAGTTAAGAGATTTAAAGAGCTAAATCAAGGTTCTAACTTCACTTTTTAAACAATTAATTAATAACCTCACTAAAAAAAATATCTGAAGTGGTTATTTTTAAAACAATCCTAATTTTTATCCTCGTCCTCAATTTAACAATTTTCATTTAAACCTTTGTTCATTTCGATTTTAATTTATTTCCGTTCTCGGAGTGTTTCGACGATTTCCATTAAAACTTGCTTGAACAAGTCCGGTAGTGTTTGCGATTAATTTTGTCCGTCTGCAACTCGCCGGATCGATTTTCAAATGCAACTGACCAATACCTTTCAATTCGTAAACTCAATCCTAATTTGTAACCCCATTTATTAAAGATACAACTACTTTAAAGTCTAAAGCAACTTTAAAACGAGTGTATCATAAAAATAGGCAACGAAGTTTTCATCGAAAAAGATTTTTATTTTTCACTCCAACGAGTTAAAGTTTTATAACGGTCCCTTTGGAACTCGATAAAAATCAAACCCACCAGACGACAAACTCCCCCTTTTCCCCCCATTTCGTTTCGGAGACACAAAAAGGTAAAAATCGAAACGAATTTGTCTTTGCTTTGAAAACTGAAATTGTCCCAAAACGATTTCTTTCTT